ACTTGATTTTTATTTTTCCTTTAGAATGAAGGTCTAACCAGTTGTTCCATAGCTTGCATTTTAAATGTGATTAGTAGGTCTGCCTAAGAGTAGAACATAGCAGTTTTCTGTATTGAATTACATTATGTTTTTAGCCTGTTTCAATAATGTATTTTGGTTATATTCCTATGTTCTGAAGTTATTCCAGCCTCTTCCATGTTTCATAGGATATCTTTTATTTCAACTTCCAAGCCATTTGTCAAAAGACAGAATAGTTCCAGTGTTGTGACTTACCCTTGTAAAAGTCCACTCAGTGCAGCCTTCCATTTTAACAGTGATCAATGGGTTGCTACTCTGAGGATCGCTTTCAACTAGTTTTGTACTCATCTTATAATATGAGCACACAAATAGTGAACTTCCCAGTCTGGCTTACCAGGTTGCAAGGTAAAAAGTGTGACAAGCCTTGGTAAAATCAAGGTACTTTCAATCTAATATATCTCTGTTTTTCTAGATGTTCTTTCATAGAATGAAACTAGATCCATTATAATTTGCCTGATAAAACCCATAGCATGGCCCATCTCCTTTCTTCTTCTAGGTGCCCAGAAATCAAACTTAAAAGCTGTTCTTCTATAATTTCTGAGGTATTTTCCTTCCTTATTTTCTTCATCTTGCATTCATTTCCAGTCCAAGATTGTATTTTCTGTCTTTCACGATTTCTCAATGGCTGTAAGTTTGCTCAGCCAGTTTAGGTGTTCAAGGATGTAAATGTCAAATTCAAATTTGAAAACTTCAAGACCATATAAATAATCTCTAAATATTCTTTTTTGCACAGCATAGAGATTTTACCTCTGTATATGTGATATTTGTGCTGACTTATTATCATAGAATCATAGAATACTGGGTTGGAAGAATCATTTGATCCAATGTTTCTTGTCAAATGCACAGTCTAGACAAGATGGCCCAGCACCCTGTCCAGCCAAATCTTAAAAGTGTCCAATGTCAAGGAATCCACCATTTCCCTGAGGAGATTATTCCAAGGGCTGATTGTTCTTGTGAAAAATTTTCCTCTGTTTGTAATCAGAATTTCCCGAGGACTAACTTGAGCATGTTACCCTTTGTCTTTTGCCTGTGACTCCTTGTAAAAAGGGAGTATCCATTTTCTTTGTAGTCACCCTAAGTATTTTTGTGTTGTTGTATTTTCATTTTTTCACTATTTTTCCATGGAAAAGCAGGTGGGTTTTTTTCTATGTCAGGGCAAAAGTAGGCTCTTTATATGTGTGATATCAGAGATCCATTTGGCAGCCTTTGACAGGTAGCTACTTTGGAATGGAAGGTGGCAGAGCTTAATGAAATACATTACTGTCATTTAATCTTTCCAACTCTATAACAGTAGTTCTAAGAACAGAGCCCATGTATATCAAAATAACATGCACTGTAGTAGTTGTTCCAGAAATATATCTATTCTCATCTTTACTGTAATAACAGTAAAGCTGCATGAGTAATGTCTAAAGATGACATATATTCTTTGGCGTTCTTCCTACAGATTTTAATTGCTTATCTGTAGTTCACTAAACTGCTTTGGGCAAATGTTGAAGAATGTTGAGTCCATTTAAGACTGAACAGGTTTTCAAACGGGCAGAATATGAGTAAACAAATTGCATTTTTCTATGGGACACTTGACAGTACAGAAATGAGGACTTTTTCATCCTGAAATATATTGCCAAGAGACCCTGATGTGGTACATACTGTTTGTCTGTATTGAAATGATTTTTTTTTTAGGCACTGTGCAGCATATTGCTGTGAAGTCAGAAATACTTACTCTTCTCTTTTGAAACAAAATGTGTGAAAATTCAAACAGTTGAAGCATCCTTAGAATCAAGCATGCAAATGAGACATGGTGAAGCTCCAGTGTGGAAGACTGATATGCTAAGAGGAAAGGGGAATCAAGATCAGGAGATAAAAAGCTAGATATATTCAGAAGTAAAATGGTAGTTTTTCATGCATGTAAGTGATTGTGATGAAAGTAGCACAAGCAATTAACTGTTCATAAAACCAATATGAATAAGGAATATTGTGAAATTCAAGAGATGAGTTTCTTGAAAATTTCATTCCATATTTTCCCATATGGAAAAGTCACTAATAAAGCCAAATAAATTGGAATTATTTTATTGCAGTACATAACATAATAGTTCATGTATTTTTATGCTGTTTAAACCGTTCAGATACTTTCCCCTCAAACTAAGTTATTACATCCCTGTTCCTGACACTACCTGTCTCTCCTTTGTGCCACTACTTCTCATCGTGTCCTCATATTTTGTATGCCACAGATTTCTTTTTCTATGAAGTTTTTCAGGTACCTTGCTTGCTCTTCTACCAGTTTGAGAGTAATGTTGAGGGAAGACTGACCTGCCTTTATTTAGCTGAGCTGTCTTTGCAGCATCCCTGTGAATTGTTTATTTGGGGAACAAGGACAAGAGTTTTGAACCAGAGTTATATCCATGGTGTCATTAGCTGCTGATATGAAATTGTCAGAACAGCCTATTGATTCATTTCTGATTTATAGAAGTACCATGTTTTTGCTTTGTTTCTGGAGACGAGAAATCTACCTCTGCTACCTGCATGTCCGTAGAGTAAGTTCAATGAGTGTAAAATTCTAGCATAACTGTGAATGGGAGTACTGATTTGGAAGTGTTATGTGCTAACCTTGCACTCACTGACTCAGTTATCAGTGCTTGTGGCAGGTGTTGGACATGAAATTTTTCTTAACATTTAAAAGGGCAATGTTATTTGCAAATAGGACTGAGTAGACAAATTTAAAGAAAAATAAATCAAAGGGACTAAGCTGATAACTCATTATGTTAGCTGGAGCAGCTTTGAAGTATTTACTAGTTTCTTCAGCAACATTTGAGCGAAACCAAATAGAAGTCTGTAAAAAATAATCTCTCAAGGAAAAGATTAAAGAAATCTTGAAAAAATAAAGAAGTATTCCTTTGTTTTGCATGCTTCATATTCTGTTTCTCAGTAAAACAAACCTGAAACAGGTTTGTATGTCCAGTTTCAAATGGTGATGTCATTAAGTTCTGTCACCAACAGGAGTAATAAAAGCCTAAAGCACAGGGATTTGTAGGTTTGACTCCTTAAGCCAACAAGATTGAACAATAAAAATTCTCAGATCTTAAAAAAGAGAAGATACCTCTTTTCAACAGAAACTTGTATTAAATTTGGGGTGTGATCCATTCTACTAACTTTGAAGAATCTTTCGAGTACTAAGTATAAGTTAGGTCATGCACTGTCTGGAAAGAGGTCTGGTGGGCATCATGGCTAATGCAAGCACTCTTCTGTGCAACCAGGATAATTGTGCAGGAGTAAAAAGGTATTCAGTTGTTTCATAGTCAACATAGGCAGAGCTATTTGCTGTGCTTCAGTTTTCTGGTCCTTGATGAGACTAGTGCTATTTCTATAGCTTTCAATTGGAGCAGATATGTTGTTCTTTTTTGTTATAATTAAAAGATTCTATTAGCCTCATTGTCCTTTAACCATGCCTTTTTGGCAAAAGGTAGCACGTTCAGAACTGAACTATAATGATGATTTAATGTAAATACATGAAACTTGAGATATTATTTTCTCTCTCTTTTAATATGTCTTCTTTTTGCTGTTGGCCATGGTTCAAAAAGGTATTATTTCAATACAGTGATGCAGTTCAGCTTGTGCTAGGTGGAGAACTGCATGACAGTGTGACAGGGGTAGAAGTCTAACTGCATTTTCATGCAGTTGATAAAGTTCTGTAAATTCACAGTGCTTATATCTGCATACTAGTGCAAACCTAAAGTATATCGTTCAGAAAGCTTCTTTATTCTTCCATAGCTAGAGTGCTCACACCACTTACTCATTTTTAGGACAGAGAAACTTCAACTTTAGGGTTTGGCAGAAATACTGATAATTGTATAATGGAATTGCATTAAACTGAAGTTATATACCCAAACAGAAGATGAGTCAGAGAATATAAGGCACAAATGCTTGTGAGATTGTTCTGAAGTGTTGTGATGCTTAGGAAACACTTGATATTTTTATTTGTTACTTGAACTGGTTTCTGACTCCTACACTTCTAAGTTATATGTCCCTTACTTGACTAAAGAGACATCTTCCATCCTTTGTTCAAGGATGAAATGTTCTCCATAATATCTTCCTCCTTTCCTTTTCTGGAAAAGCTCTTTGTAGATTACTTAACTACTTTTTTTTTTTTTTTCCTCTTTGTTTTTGTTTCTGTTTTTCCGGGTATTACCCTGGCAAAATGTCCTGCAGAAAGATCTATATGTCAAGAACTTTTCTTTTGGAATAAAAGTTCAGCTGTTCAGTCAGAATGACAATGTTTACAATAATGTTATTTTCTATGTATATATTCTTTAACTATGTTATTTTTATGTGCTTGAGACAACAATTGTATTTCTTGGTTAGATTTAGTTTATTTTTGTATGGTTTCTGAATTGGAGCTCTAAGTATACATATCAGAACCACACAAATTGATCTGTTTCTCTATTGTAAAAGACTGTCACTGGGCAGAATTGCATCAGGCACAGCTTTCCATTTTATTTGTTACTGCTTTTTACTAGGATACTGTCATCTCAAAGGTAGAAATTTAGGTGATAAATTCTATAATTCACTGTTAATCACTTCCTATCAATAATGAATATTGTTACTTGTTTATTTGCTCAACAAATACAAATAAATCTGATGCAGTCTACTGTCATTTAGTATGTATATTCAAATCAGTCTAACAGTACTAGTGCATTTATGCTTGAATTGACCCTGAAACTGTAGCTAGTTTAGGGAATAGAAACTTTGAACTATTACCTAATCTAATTCTTAGTACAGAGGTAGCATATGCTGCATAAAATTTTTCCTAGCATCTATGTCTGCAAAGATTTAAGCACTTCATGAAAGATAGCTTCAAAATACTTAGAGCTATAATTTTTATCAGAAAAGATGTTTATATTAATGATGGTAATTCTCTCTCCTTACAGTGCAAATTAGACTATCAGGCCTGTGTCTCAGGAAAACAAATCTCAGTGAAATGTGAAGGACGATGCCCTTGCCCTTCTGACAAATCCACAAATGCAGGCAGAAATGATAGGAGAGGTGAGTGATGGTAATTTGTGTGATATTTTTAACAGCTTGTTTCTGGAAGGAAATAAGGTTTTGCTCGTAGAAGAGTACAGTGATCACAAACACTGATTATTCTTGAATAAAACCAGCTTTATTTTATTCAAGGTTGTTTTCTTTGCCATGGTGTTTGAAATTGTGTTTACAGTAAAATACCACTGTATTTTTCAAATGCAGACTTTGTAGTATGAGTTACTGTTCTGTTTTTACTCTTTAATGCTCCTTGAGATGCAAGTCATTCCTTGTTCCTCAGTGTTTTCAGTTGAATATTCAAGGAAATGAAGTGTGGTAGAAGAAAAGGAAACTTGAAAGTCCTTATTACTGGTCATAGGAGCAAGCAGTTGCACTTAAACTGTGGAACTATTAGTAAAGGCTGTCCATATAAAAGAGAGTTCTTTGTTTGAAAAGTGTTTCATAGGAATAAATCAGCTTCCTTTTGGCACATGCATGAGATTAGGCTGCTGGAAAATGCAGTTGCTTTGCACTGCTTCTTAGCCTTTGGTGCAACTGGAGAAAAAAAATCTGTAGCTGAGCTTATTTGTATTTCAGTGACTCCCAGGTGACTTTGGAATGTTGTTGTTAAACGAGACAGGATACCATCTTTGGTGCTCCTGATTAGAGCTAGAGCTGTCATAGCATGACTGGAGAGCTGCATTTTTAGACTGATTTCTGTTAGATGTATTTTTATTTATTTCTGTATAGTCACACTTTTGATGAGTAAGCTAAAATCTTTATGCATAGATATCCTCATTGGAAATACACCAAAATTAGTTTTTGAAGATTTTTTTTTTTTCCTGTAGCAACCTTATAAAGATAAAAGAAACCAACATTACATTCCTGGATTGTATTTCATTATGGTTTGATGTGCTATTCCAAATTTATCGTGCAAAAGAATCTTACCACTTCCATGATAAGCTTTAGCTACTGCCAAAACTATTTTTTTTCCCCTGGTTTAAAAAAATGAATTAATGTTCTTTTGACAATTAATAGGGTTGACCACTGCAAACAATGAGCTATGCACAGGCATACAAGTCAAAAAACTCCTCTGAAACACTCCTTTAGGTCACTTTTTTGGTCTTCAGCAATATAATTGATTGTGTAATTAAATATTCAATTAAATTAAAACAATACAGCATTGAGATTTTTTTTAAAAACATTAACATACAATGTCATGTAGTCATGTAAATACATAGATAAATCTGTCATCTGCTCACATTGCCTGCCCAAATGAAAAACACTGGAAGACCTTAGCCTTATATGGTTCATGTGACCCCTTTGATAAGACATTTAGTATAGCATTAATGTGGTTGCAGTTTTCACTAGCAACAATTTCTGCATCTCCAGGACAGATATGGGGATTTTTGCTTAACAGCGGGCATGAAGTGAAATTAAGGTAATGAGCCGAGAAGCATCTCTCTGTGAGTGGCAGGCCTACCATTCTCTAGTGTTAGTTTTTTTTATCATTGCCCTCAGTTTTTACCAAAATAAAATTAGCATTTCCTCTGCTGGAAGCTGTTTCACCTGATGCAGGTTTTTTTTGTCTTTGTGTATCCTTCTTTCAAGCACATTCTGGTTTTGGTACTCCTGTACTTAAACACTGAAAATGATCTAGAGCAAATTTTATTGGCTTTAACAAAATGGAATTGTCTTTAATTAGGAATGAACTCCTAGGAATGAACTCTTCTTGAAGATTTATACTGCCAAGGGATCAAGACTACTTGTGCTTAGTTATGTAAAAGGGAAAGAAAAAAGATCCTATATGAGTATGGGAATTAACACTAATCCCATCCTGACAGATTGTAAGGGCAAGCGAAATACAGGGCTTTTGCAACTGCTACGTTTTACTGCAACATTGAAATTTGAATACAATTTCTTTACAAGGCCAAAGGCCAGGAGATATGAGAAATATGAAAGTGAGCAGAGTATCAGTACTGAAATTTCATCCATTATTGTAACAGAATACAAAATTTGTTATAACTTTTGTTCTAAGAACTTTTGTTGTAAGAACACAATTATTTTCTTTAAATAAAACTCAACATTGAGTGTTCTAAGCTGTATATGCGCGTTGGTTGCTTAGAAATTTAATGAAGCCAAAGGGACAAAGTAAGATTGGTGCTCCAGTTTCAGGGATAACTTAAGTGAGGGTTTCCTAAAATACGTCCGCTGTCTAAGACAATTTTTCATATTTTCAGATTGACAAATTCTACTGAATTTTTGCTGTATCTAGGGAGCAAAGTATGTCTATGAACTTTCCCAAAATAGTCTTGGTGTGGAACTCTATTCTCCTTTGGGAAGCCAAATTAAACCAGTATTCAGAAAAACAGATTTTCCTCTAAAAATGTGTGTGAACCTAATCATAAGATCATAGGAAACTCTTAGTTGGAAGTGAATGCTTATCTAATTAGTTTATCTAATCCATCTCTCTGAATGCCTAAGGCAGGTGCGAGCATCTTGGTTTTTGTGAAAGCTGGCTCATTTTGGTCGTATGTTCAGTAGCATTGAACCTGACCGATGTGCAGGGGCTGTTATTGTGAACCCAAAAATGAAAGGGCTAAGAACTTGGTCTACAACTAGATGTATAAGTTGGTATCAAAACAAAAAAAGAAGCAAAAAAAGGACACAATAAATATCTTTCTTTGTCATATTTTTGTTTTAGTTTTAATTTAGAGAAAGCATTGAGTATTGAATAAACTACGGCAGGTACTCCAGTAATTTTTAAAAAGAGAAAGAAAAGAAAAACAATATTCTGCCATAAAAGAGGGAAGATCTGAAGAGCACTTGAGGCAGTGTTAAAGGGAAGGATCACACAAAGTTAGAAATAAATGAAGGTGGGCAGTGTGGAGGAGAAGGATGGCTTAGGGAGTTGCAGAATGAGAAAGGTAAACAAGAATGGATGGGAGTCACCACCACTAGTGACAGAAGTGTTAATTAAGAGACAAGCGAGGAAGCACTTACAGGACCCTATCCTGTTTTCCAGGCATAGCCATTGGCTCATGCCCTGTTTTCAACCTAATTTCAACCTGATCCCATTTTCAAGTATGTGCCAGGATTTAGGGCATCCAGGTCGTACTGGCTTGCACAGTTGTGAATGTAGGGATTTCACTTCATATGCTTGATGGTTCACAAGTTCAATTTTAGACGTTCACCGACACCCTCACAGACTTACCTGCTACCTTAGTGTTCACATTTAAACTATTTTTTTCACTTACCGCAACAACACATTTATTTCAAGTTTTGTTACATTTATTTATTAATGTACAGTTCACCAGCCTACATCAACTGTTTCCATAATTTGAAGTGTATTACAAAGCTTTTGCCAGTTGGCTATTTGGACTTTATTTAAATAATGATTCCTTTCAGCCAACTTGAGATTAAAATATTAACAGCAAAATTTCTTCAGGGAAAAATTACGTGACCTAATAATAGAGAAGTAGAGGTGAAGGAGATAAGGCTTTTCTATCAGAACATTTTCTTGTCTCATTAACAGATTTTATTTTTACTTAATGTGATTTGATTCCTTAAAAAAGTGTGGGTTTTATAATAAAAATAGTTTTATTGAGTGCTCTTCTGTCATTTGGCACTTTTTGCTGCTTATATCTTATTCTGTTTTTCAGATGTGTCTTCCCAGTCAATATTTAAATAACAGTAAATTTTATTTCAGTTTAATTTCCAGTTTTCTAGTCCAGTACTGATTCATGTTTGGTTTGTACTGAATTGATTCTAAACCTATGAATAGGCACTAATGATAAATTTGTGTTGACACATGGACATATTGCCAACATTCCTCAAAGAAAATAACAATTTAAGTTTTAAAACCTGATTGAAAGAGTGAGGTTGTGGGAGAACATTTCAAGTTCTTAAATGATTTCAAGACTTTAGTACAGGTATTTTACTATCCTGTTATAAAAAATAAATATTTCATTTTCTAATCTAAATAGTTAATAATAGGTGGAAAACAGCAAGAACAAGAAGTTGAAGGATCTGTAGTCACAACTGAAGTTTGTGGTTCACGCTAGTGTTTTATTTTGCAAGTTAATATATTCAAAATACAAAATTTTAATAAGTAGCTTAAAGTAGGTGAAAAAAAGAGATAAAATTATACACCAGTAACCTTAATTAAAAGCTTACGAGGTGTGAACACTTGAGTACATGCTTCACCAAATTTGATTTTTGATGTGCATGGCTCAAGCTGTAGTTAGAAGGAATTTAAGAAAAACAGAGAGAAATCAATATATTACATAAGTACTAAGCAATTTATTTTTGCATTAAATGGGTGAAACATCTTCACTTGTTTGTGTTTTCATGTTTAGGCCTGGCAAGCATTAAAAATTTATTTACTTTAGTTTGCAAAGTACATATGCTTCTTAGTTTGTATGTTGCAGGGTCTAGAAGGCCAGGTTTATTAAGAGGTTTTGTTCATTCAGAAGGAGGAATGAATGCCAACAGCAAAATCATCAGAGTTTTTAATAAGCAAAAAATATTAGTTCAAGACATTACAAGAAAAAAGATGGACAAGTGAAAGTAATTTTGTACTGTTATTTAATTCTCATAGCTTAGATCAAGACCCTCACTGTCTGTTTTTCCTACATAAAGAAATAAGGCAGTCTGTGGAATATATATCTTAGAAATAAGGACTATAAGTTTTTATAGAAATAATAACTGTTTACTTCTTGTATATCTTTTAATGTAGTGTATATATAAGGCTTTTGTATATATTTTTACAATGTAATACTTGGCATTTTCTAGCTGACTAAAAAAGCAGTTGTAGCTTATATTGGATACTACTTGAGGAGTCAGACTAGGACTGTCATAAACCAGGATTTGGATTCATCTATAATCTCTGTATGAAATTTATCTTGTTTCCAGTCTTAATATTTCCTCAGATTTCTTTTTTACTAGCATTGTACTTATACTACTAGTTGAGATATAGAAAATTAATGATAATTTCTTAGGAAAGTAGAGGTTGTGGACTGAGG